TGCGCGCCCTGAGAAACTTCCCAGGGGGTCACCCATCCCAAGACTACTCTCGTGCAAGCACGCTTAACTTTGGAGTTCTTGTGTGATGAGCTCCCTTAAAAGGAGATGCACCTCTGTTGGTATGAGTAGTACTATTAATCCGTTTATATTAAATCTCAAGTGTTACAATCACCCCCACTTAGGATCGCAACGTCCTCGTTGCGTCCTTGAACCAATCTCAAATTTCAATCAAATCATATCCCAGAATCTTCCCCCGCTAGGTGCCCGCCCGATATCCAACGGGTCATCACACTGTCGCGGGGTTGCTCTGATACCACCTGTAACACCCCGGCCTCGCAGGACCCGAGGTAGCTACTCTAGACCAATAGTACTGTCCTCACAAACCACCACGAGCCTTTACCGCGCACTTTGTCCTCACTCATGCGCGCCCTGAGAAACTTCCCAGGGGGTCACCCATCCCAAGACTACTCTCGTGCAAGCACGCTTAACTTTGGAGTTCTTGTGTGATGAGCTCCCTTAAAAGGAGATGCACCTCTGTTGGTATGAGTAGTACTATTAATCCGTTTATATTAAATCTCAAGTGTTACAAGTGGTCCATTCAGACTTGGCCTTGTTAATCATCTGTGGCCTGGTCCGGTCAATAGCATGCTCAGGATTCACCTTCTGAAAGTTGGTGAATGGCCCAATGTCAAGTACTTCCCACATCTCATCATGAAGAGCACAGAGATGTGCCTTCATCCGGATCCTCCAGTCATCAAACTTAAGACCTGAAAACATAAGGTTCTTGGAAAGAGAGTGATCCATAGTATGAGATTAAAACAGAGGCAAAAAGAAAAACAAGTGGATCTTTGTTCAGTAAGTAACCTAAAAAATTATTAGAACAAGGAGGCTTTGATACCACTTGTTGGTCCCGGTTGTACTGGGTACAGTCTAGAGGGGGGGGTGAATAGACTGTACTGGTTTTTAACTTTTTCAAGCTAGGTACCAGATTTAACAGAATAGCCTGATCTGTTGACAGAACAGACTGGCAGCGGATGGTCTTCTGGTAGGGGTTCTGTCCGGTTAGCCTCTAAGAGATGCAAAGGCAGTAGGCCTTCTGTTGACTCACAGGAGGGGTTCTGCTGAACACAGAGACCCAAATTCTGGAGTTAATTAGATAAAGATAAATACAAGAATTAAAAGCAGTAAGTAAATGACACCAGGGATTTTTATAGTGGTTCAAGGAACAACTCGTTCCTCTAATCCACTGTTCCGCTAATGCTTGTAAAAGATCCAATTACAAAGCTTTAGCCCTAGCACTTAAGAAGCTCTCCACGTCTTCTTCAAGTGTAGACGTCTCCTGGGATGCACTTCCTTGCTTCCTTTAAGACTGGTCCTTTCACTGAGCTTCCCGGAAGTATCACCACTTCACTACTTCATTACAAAAGGTTTGTAGTTGAAGTGCTTGAAGAGTTGAAGAACAGTTGGAACTTTGCTCTTGTTGGGGATATGAAGATAAAAAGAGATTATCTTCCCAACGTACGCCTTTCTTGTTGATGAATATGAAGATTTTGATCTCAAGAAGGCTTGTGCGTTTGAATGTTTGAATGTTTTTGTCTGAGCACTGGGTTTTCAAAGTGTTAGCAAAAGTCTGCAAAGCTTTTCCAAAAGTTATCCGGTTGTTCTTCGAGTAGTATCTTTTATACTGGGGTTGTCTTCCCGTTGGAGGAGGAGGATAACTGCATTAAATGCGCGAATAGTTGACTTGACCAGTAGGACCCGGCAAAGTTGGCGGGTTACTATTTTGGGATAAAGTTATCCTGAAATATCCTGGAATGTCGGTCAATCATCAGCTTTTACTCTTCAGGGTATGGGATGCATTAAGTGTGCATTTAATGCGTGTACTGTAGCTTTTCCATTGAAGTCTTCTAGTCATTGAAGGAATCTTCCGTTGGTTTCACCGGCTGAAGTAGTTCCATGAAAATTCTCTAAGTGTCAGGCCTTCTGGTGTCTTCAGCAGAGGATCTGTCAGAGAAGGTCTTGAGCACTTCTGTTGGAATAAGCTATCAGAGGGTCCTTAGGTCTTCTGTCAATAGGCGAACCAACAACCAGTCTTGACTGTGGTGTCCAATAGAGGACCAGGAGGGTTTCTGTCCGAGTAAGAGCTAACAGAGACCCAGAGGTCTTCTGTCTGAATTAAAGTACAACAGAGGGCCAAATGTTTTCTGTCAGGAGGCCTTCTGTCAGTCGACTATACTAAACATATACAAAGACAATTCTAATACAATCTAAGGGGTACTCTAAAGTCCTATACCATCATCAAAATCTAATTACAATTATTCCTTACAACTAATCTACTTAGGGCATATCATCTCTGGAGAAGCAATAATAGCTGACCCTACCAAGATAGAATCCATGGTCACCTGGCCAGAACCTAAGAACCTGAAGGAGTTGAGGGTTTTTTAGGGCTGACAGGTTATTATAGAAGGTTTGTAAAAGGATACAGTAAAATTGCACTACCCCTTACACAACTTCTAAAGAAGGATTGCTTTCAATAGGATGAGAAAGCTACACAAGCTTTTGAGGAACTGAAAAGAACCATGACTTCATTACCAGTATTGGCTACACCCAAATTCAATGACTTGTTCACTTTGGAAACTAATGCATCTGAAACTGGATTAGGGGCAGTTTTAATGCAAGGAGGAAATCCCATAGCCTTTATGAGCAAGGTTTTATCAAAGAGAAACCAAAACAGATCTGTCTATGAAAGAGAGCTTATGGCCATTGTGTTGGCAGTCCAAAAATGGAGGCACTATTTGCTGGAATTAATTCCACTTTAGGTCTTTCGAGTTTTGTGTCATTTCCATATTTAGTCCTCGTCTTTCACTTTATCCATTTTTGGTACCTTACTATTGTTTTCTTGACCATTTGTGGTCCATTTCTGAGCATATTTACTATCGGAAAAGGACTATATATGGTCAAGAAAACAATAGTCAGGTACCAAAAATGGATAAAATGAAAGACGAGGACTAATTGTGGAATTGGTGCAAAACTCGAAGGACCATAAGTGGAATTTCCTTCCTATTTGCTGGGAAGGACATTTGAGTTTTTAACTGACCAGAAGAGCCTCAAATTCCTAACTGAACAAAGGCTTATGGGAGAAGAACAACAGAAGTGGATTTCAAAGTTATTGGGATATAACTTTACCATAAAATATAGACCTTGAATTGAGAATAGAGCTGTTGATGCTCTTTCCAGGAGACCTATGCTACCGTCACTTTCTATTGTGACATGTCAAGAGTGGGAGGGATTTGAAGAAGAGCTGAAATCAGATCCTAAATGTACAGAAATAATTCAGAAGGTGATTTCACATCCAAATTTACACAAAGAATTCCAGATTATAAAAGGATTATTATATTACAATAAGAGATTGGTTTTACCATGAGGATCTCCCAGAATAGCCAAAATACTGAAAGAGTACCACGAATCTGCAATTGAAGGACACTTTGGTTACTTTAGAACCATGAAAAGAGTTTCAAATCTTTTCTTTTGGCAGGGAATGAGAAAAGACATTAAGAAGTTTGTTGAAGAATGTGTGATTTGTCAAACAAGCAAGTATCAAGTCCTCAAACCTGCAGGGTTGTTGCAGCCTTTACCTATTCCAAATAGCATTTGGACTGACATTTGGAAAGATGCTATTTTATTCATTGTGGACAGACTGACTAAGTATGCTCATTTTGTGGCTTTATCACACCCCTACAATGCTAAAGAAGTGGCAGATGTATTCATCACGGAGGTGGTCAAACTACATGGTTTTCTGAAGACCATAGTTAGTGACAGAGACAGTGTATTTTTAATTGCATTTTGGTTCGAACTCTTTAAATTGGCGGGGACTAAATTGAAGTACAGTACAGCTTACCATCCTCAAACTGATGGTCAGACTGAGGTGGTTAACAGGTGCCTTGAGACATACTTAAGATGTTTGACACGAAGAAAACCCATGAAGTGGTTTAACTGCTGCATTAGGCTAAATATTGGTACAATACCAATTATCATGCAGCCCTAAAAATAACCCCTTACAAAGCTCAGTTTGGACAAGACCCCCCTCCATTAATTAGAGGTGATGTCAATCTTACTGCTGTAGAAGAAGTATCCAAACTGACTGCACAGAGGAATATCATATTGGATGAATTAAAGGAGAATTTGGCAAGGGCCCAGAATCAGATGAGACAACAAGCTAATAAGCACAGGAGGGAGGTTCAATTGGAAGTAGGAGAGAGGGTTTATTTGAAGATACAGCCTTAAGCTAAGGAGTTTAGCTAAAAGGATAAATCAGAAGCTCACACCCAGATATTATGGTTCATTTGAAATAATTGACAAATTGAGTTCAGTAGCTTTCAATCTTAAACTGCCAAATGACAGCAAGATACATCCAGTTTTTCATCTCTTTGCCTAAAAAGGCTATTTCACCTATTACTTTCTACCAGCCTCTACCCAACTGTCTAAGTGAAGAATTGGAGTTACAGGTGGTACCAGAAGATATATTAGACACCAGGGTTGACAAAGATGGGAATTTTGAAGTATTGGTACACTCGAGCAATCTCCCAAGCTTTGAGGACTCATGGGAATCCCAACTGATGCTGAAGGAACAATTCTCAGATTTTCACCTTGAGGACAAGGTGAATTTTCAGGGAGGGAGTAGTGATAGACACGGAGTAAAGCAATCAGTTCAGTATTATAACAAAGTTTATAAAAGGTGGAATAAGGCAGTTAATACTAACTAATAACTAACTAGTCTGTTAGCAGCTTGTCCCTGCGTGGACTTTTACTATAACTAGAAGGATATTGAGCTAGTTGAGGTAGGCTGTATTGTAGCTAGAATTGGTTGGGAGATTAGACATCTCGAATCGTCTACATTTGTATTTCTTTCTATTGATCTAGTTCTGTTGATGAATTAAGAAGTTCATACTGTTCTTGTTCATTATATTGAGTGTTGATAATCTCTATAGTTTTTTTTTACCAGGGAGGTCAACCACCAAAATCAGTGGGGTAAATGCCAGGGGTCATTTACCGAAATTTTATTAAGACAGGAAGAAGGATTACAAAAGAGAGGAGGACCAGACCAAAGTCTGTCAAAAAAAGTTACAAAAACTGGGAAATAAACACAAAAGTCAGCCAATACGAAGTGAGGGGAGTCCAAAGAGATCCATAAAATAGGAGTTCCGTGCCAGGGCCGGTAGATCCTGTACTCTGTTAAAATATATCCATTGGGCCACATCCTGATGGACCAGGAAGTGAGCGACCCAATTACCCTGCCTCCACACGCTAGAATAGGAAACATCGCTGATTCCAGACGGATCCAACAACCTATCTAATCTGCAACGCCATCTGCCTGAGCCACCATCTTTCATGTAATCCAGCACCGCAGTAGAATCCATCTCTACCTGGAAGTTAGAGAAACCTTCGCTAATCACCCATTTCGTAGCTAGGAGTATCGAAAGCAGTTCTGCTTCAAGAGGAGATGAAGCCTGAATCGGAAATGCTGCTGCCCGCACCAAACGACCATCCCTGTCCCTCAAGATTGCACCTCCTGCTGCAGAATGCAGATTGAGTCATTGAGGTGAGAAACTTGCATATCTCTGTAGTTTATCAAGTATATCTCTGAAACTTTAAAATCTCTAATGATTTGGTGCCATGAATTTAAACTTTTTAATCCTAAAGTATTGTTGTTTTGTTGTAGTTGGTATATCTTTATATATTGAATGTCCATAACAACTACAAGTGGTTACCCTTTTTGCCAAACACCTTGTCATTTGATAACATTAGTTTTAATCTCAATTAAGGTTGTTGGCATTATTTTGAACAAGTATTATAATAGATTTAGAAGGATATACAAAAAAAAACTCTCTAAGGCTTATTCTCTCAATCTTGTCAAAGTAGCTGAGTAAACAGAAAAGTCAAAAACCAGCGAATAAACACTGTTTTAGGTATAAAACAGTATTCCTTTTGGTTCAGATCCCAGTTCTCTCTTCCGAAAAGCAACCACCACGAGCAACCATTTATGCCAAACCAACGATCCCAAATAGGCAAACATAACACTGCAGTCTACGCCTACACTGGCCTCTTGTTAGCTTTGCACACATGAGATCTAGTTTGCTTTGCATAAAATTCTATGGTAGATGTTTAATATATAAATGATCCAACTCTCATTCACATAATGAAATTACCCCCTGTTAAGAGGCCAGGATGACATCATAGATGATACTTAGCATTCATGTGAAGTTTACAGAACAAGAATCCATAAAATGACCATTACCAACGTAACACAATCTGGACTAAAAATTTCACATTACAGCAAAACTTTTGTTCCTTGTATGTAAAAGAGAATGCTACATCTTTTTTATACCAGAATTAACCTTCATCAAGCAAGCAATTGTGAACAGGACTCTTACCATCCAAGTTGTTGTGTAAAGGAAAGGATGCATATAACTGATATTGCATATACACTAGCATCAATGAACAGTGCACCCATAACTTTCTGCAACGTCAGCCAAAACTCTAAGGCTTTTCCCACCCTATCTGCCCAATCATTATCGTCTGCTAAAACTCCACTGCTAGATTCCTGTTGAACCACCCTTCCAGACCCTGCGTTTTCTAAGAGAAGGTGTCCAACAACGATCGATGTGTTGGTCAGAAGAAGCAAAAACAGTGGTCTGAATAGGACAATACTTTTAACCAAGTGGGTTCCCAGGATAGGACATCCTACATAACATAATACTACTAGAAGAGAAGCTGCTAGAGAGCAGCGAATGCGAATGCTCTCGCATGATTTAATGGCAGAAATGATTTTCTGGGGAGTGAAGATACTTGGATGGTTGCTCGTTCGCTTTCTATGATGACGATGATCCCCCCCTTCAGAAGCAGTAATTGCAGCAGATGAGACCTGTACTTGTTTGCTGTTCAAACCCAATGGTGAAGAAACTCCAGTGCCCTCTCTGTTTTCACCTTCATACATGTTCTTATGGCCAGGCTCAGAAACAAACTCATTATCATTTTCCAACATATGCCCAGAAACCGAGTCTTCAGCAATAGAGCCTGCAAACAAGCAATTTACACAGTCACACACACAGCACTAAGGGACCACCATTTGATAAGTAGGATATTTGGCTTAAATAGAGGTTATAAAGCTGAACCAGCTCATTTTTTTCCTGAAATAAAATGTTTTTGGTAATATACCTTTCAGCCAAATAAGCATGTCAAAATCCTACATATATTCCATTGAATATACCAGAATGGCTACCTAACTGAGCGTAGAGTACCACAGGCATAACGCGAACGAGAAAAACAAAAACCTTAATCAACAAAAACTTGAGGTAAACATGCAGCAGAAAATTAAAGGAAGCAGAATAGATGTACTTCCCATCCAGAACAAGAAACAAAAAACTAGTACAGAGCAGCTCTATTAACTTCAGACACAAATTTTTTCTCATTTGAAAGACAAAGTCCCAAGAAAGGAATTCACTACAAACCTTTGGCTTGCATATGCAGATTAACATGATTTTTTTATGTGAGAGAGAGAGAGAAAGAGTGTGTGTGTGTGTTCACTGTTTCCCCTTGAAAACTCTTTGGACATGAACATTCCATCAACGGATCAACCAAAAGCCATAATCATCTTCTACAGGAAGACTTCAAAAAAATGCGTATAGATGCGAGGCATTAGCCTTGAGGCATAAGCCTCAAAAGTTACGAAGTAAAACATAAAATAGTTAAACTAGTAATAACTAATAACCAACTATATACATGCATAAATGCATAATAACATTCCAAAAAGTCTCAAAAACACATATATGATCACATCATCAAACATGATGACTCTAAATGAGAATTCAAGCACAAAACATACACATCGTACAGATGAGAATTTTGAACTCTCGAAGCTTAATCATCATGACCGGAAGGTCATCGGAAGAATCATTATATCTTATAGCCTTCTCACCATCATCCCTTCCCTTATCACTATCAAAATCCTTAAATTATTTCTCTTCTTCATCATTATTTACCTCCATTTCTTGTTTACTTTTCTTATTTTTTCTTTGGTTACCCATCAACTTCTTGGTGCAGAAGTTTGAATAAATTTCAACAACACATAGAATGCTTTATAGAAAGTATATCTTAGGGTTTAAATGAAACAAGACTTGTTAGGGACTTGGGGTTTAGCGCAGACACATGTTTAATATATGGGCCTATTATGAAATAATCACACTGGGCCTTTTTAAGCTACAAGGACATTAAAAAAGATAGAAGCAAAGGAAAAAACGCCTCAGGGCATATGCAATGACTTTTGAGGCGTATGCCTCTTGTCTTGCAAACAACCTAAGCCTCAAAACCTTCTTTGTACGTCTCAAGGACCTCAAAACCCACCATGTAAGCGCCTTTCTAAACCATAGTATACATACATGCCCACTAATAAGAAAAGCTACGAAAAGATCCCCGTAAGATGAGGTTTCAAAGGAAGGGCCCACACCACAACGTCATATAAGCAGCAAGCCTTCCTTTGTCATAAAAATCCCCAAAAGATGAAATTCCCGGGAAGGGCCCACCACAACGTTATATAAGGAGCAAGCCCTTCCCTTCCCTTGGCATTAGGCATACCAAAACATGGAATAATGCTCTTCTTTCGAAGACCTTGTGGGATATTCATCTGAAGCGTGATACTTTGTGGGTAAAGTGGGTGCATGGGGTATACCTTAAGGGTAGAAGTGTGTGGGAATTCTCCCCACACACCAGGGACTCAAACTTATGAAGAAGTTTGGGCAGATCCGAGACCTTCTTGTTTCTAAATTTGACTCTATTGGGAGCACAATTAATGCCCTCTCCAAGCTTGTTATTAATGGGAAATTGTGCTCCTCTAAAATCTATGACCTCATTAGAATCAAGAGCAACACACAGGTTTGGATGCCTTTCATTTGGAAAGCCTATATACCTCCTAAATTTTCATTTATTGCTTGGCTTGCCTTCCGCAATCGCCTAGCAACTTATGATAACCTTAGTAGGTTTGAGGTGATTAACATCTGCCCGTTTTGTAAGGGTGAACCGGAGACGGTAGCACACCTATACTTTGGTTGTCAATTTACAGGGCAGGTATGGAGCAAAGTGAGAGCATGGATTGGGATGCCTAGGCAGATGACTACCCTGGATAGCTCGATGAAGTGGATCAAGAAGGACCATGCGGGTGCCGGAGTCAAAGCCAAAGCTGCCCGTATTGCATTTATCTACACCATATACTGGATATGGAGGGTGCGGAATGCAACCAGATTTGATCATGCCAAAGCTCACGAGGAGGAAGTTTTTGCTAGGATCCAATACATGGTGTATAAGATCCTTTATAGTATCTACCCTCATGAACTTATTATGTTTTGATTTGTAATGTGTGGTACGGCTCCTTGCCCTTTTGTCTGATTTGGGAATGATTGTATAGCCCACAGGTCATGGCATATCCCGCGTTGGGATAGCCCCATTTTTGCTCCCCTTTTTTTGTTGATGTACTTGTACATAAACTCTTTGGATAATATATAATTACCCTTTATCCAAAAAAAATTGACAAGAGGCTGCTCGAAGTAGTGGCATATCCAGAAAATTTCGTCTGGGGCAAACTCATACTAGATATTATCTCACACATGTCACAAACTATTCATATTAAGAAAAAATATTGTATAAGCCATTATAAATAACAAAATATTCACTGGACAAACATTATGATATCATACTTAAAAATCATGGTAAATAAAGTTTCTCTTTGTTAGAAATTAATTTTTTTTAAAGTGTTAGAATTAAATTTTAATCACACAGTTTGTAATGTGTTCAAAATTATGTTAGTAAATAAATGAATTGAATAAGGGACAGATCAAGTAGGCACTTAGAATTAATTTAAGTTATGACTTCACAAGTATATTAAAAAAAATCAGTTTATACTCGTACTATGTAAAAACGTAATTGTTAAACTTAATGAATTATATGTGAAACTCAAATTGTAATTATATTGAAGTAGTTTAAATCTTTTCGACAAGACAAAAATTGAATAGAAGTATGTAAAGTCGCTTCAAATTTGTTTAAGGCTTCAAAAATGACAAAACCTAAGGTAGGTGTTTCGGACCCTTGGCCTCTTGAGCACCAGAAAATTGCACGGCCCATGCTCCCCACTCCGCCGTGGAGAATTTTGGTTATGAATAATTGTATATTGGATATATACGAAGCATTAGTCAATATACCACATTGATCAACAATAATTTTTTTAAACATTTCGGCAGATTCAGAACGTAATAAACAAAAAGGTTGAAGGGGTTGTGATGATCATTAGTCAATATACCACATTGATCAACAATAATTTTTTTAAAAATAAACAATGAACTGAATTAAAGCAAATAGTAAACACGATAAGAAAAACCACCGACATCAATAGTATAATTAATAGTGAGAGGAAGAGAGAGTACCCAGGGATGGAAGGTCGGGTTGGTGGGCTTCGGGAGAGAGATAGGGCGGACATGAGGCGGTGTGGGAATGTCGCAGTTCGGATTCGGAGACGCAGCTCGGCTGGAGGCAGCGGATCTGGCCGGTGATGAGGGCAATCCGGTCGGATCCTTTGTCAACTATACGTCGCCGTCGCGCCTCTCTGTTGGATGCCATCATCTCTTTCCGAGAAAGGTTCCAAATTTGTTATAAATCTGTTAATTAAATTCGGAGTAATTAAAAATGATAAAAACTACGCGTAAAAACTGCGATATACTACCAGTAAAATACGGAGTAATTTGTAGTTGTTTTGAACTTGACCAACTTTTCTTTTTTGGCCGTCTCAAATTTCCATTTAAAGTAACAAATATGTGGGTCAAATTATTTCTCTCTACTCTGCACAAATATCAACTACTTCCTTCGTCTCATAAAATAAGTCTCATTTCAATTTGGATCGGAGTTTAAGAAAGTGAGAATAAAGTGGAAATGTATGGTTGTGGTTGAATAAGAAAAAAGTAAATGAATGTTAGTCACACAAAACTTTCCAAAAAGGAAAATGGGAACAATTTTTTGGGACGGCCCAAAAAGGAAAATGGGACTTATTTTATGGGACGGAGGGAGTATACAGTTTTTACTTTATTAATCTACGTGTAAGGCAACATTGGCAAGTTTTATGGGGCGGAGGAAGTAATATATACACTAGACGAAATACCCGTGCGATGCACGGGGTATATCTAGAGTGGAGTAATAACCTATTTGACATAACATTCTATTACAGAGTGTAACGGTACCTAATGAACATTTTTTAAATAAAAAACAGAAAAGGTCAAATAGTATCTTCTACTATTTCCACTAATATAGTGACATGAGGAGGCGTTGCAGTTATTAAGAAAAACAGTTTTATGTGGTTGATATTGAATTGATAAAGTAAGAATAACGTAATAATGATTTAGAAGCGCACAAAACTTTTCAAATTTGGTATGAAACAATCTTAGTGAGACAAACCGAAAAGGAAAAGTGGAACAATTTTAGCGGGACAGAGAGAGAACTATGTGTCAATTAACCGGTTTTTGACCTGTAATATCATGTTTTTTATATTACAAAACTTTAAAATTTTAATAAAATTCGAAAACTTATAAATAAAAGTTGTGGGTCAATTCACAATGTCAAAATCTATATTTTTGTATTTTTGGAAGTATTTGTATATTTTGCATCTTATTTAAAGTTATTATCGTTTAATTAATTTTAGGTTGTTTACATTTTCGCTTTATTTTTTGTCTTTTATCTATTTTTATTTTTTATGATAACTTGTTAAAGTTATCTATCGATTTTTTAACTAATACTGCTTTTATTTTATTATTACATTATTTTTTAAATTTATATGATATTTTATAAGATTAATCAACTGTTTTTTAAATTAACATTATGTCATAACAGATTAAAATGACTTGATTGACGGTGTTTGTACAGTAAACATGTACGTTTATATGATACTTTTTTAGTATATGGACTTAAGTGATGTATTAAAAAATAATAGAAGGCTTCGTTTGACTTTTTCCATTTTGATTTTAAAAATTGCTCATTACATACTTTTAAGTTTCATGCAAAGTTTTGACATTTCTTGTATGTTTTTGTTAATTATCCTCATAACAATTGGTCAAAATAATTTTCTATTTTGCACTATGCTCTCTTCACACCAAAATAATTGTCCGACTTTCTTTCTCGGGTTGTATGAAATTACTTATTTTGATTCATTTTTTTTTTGAAAAGAAATCTACCCTAAAATAAGCTACACTTTAATAAAGTATACAATAATGTTATAGTACAAAAAATAACTTACTTCTTGTAAAGTCTACAATAATTATTTTAAACTACTTTTTTATCGTTATTATCTTAAACTACTTGAAAAGCTAAATGTGATAATTATTGAAGTGCAGAGGGAATCTTTTTTGGGATGAACTAATTATGGAAATTATATGAGTATTGGAAAGTATACATTTGAATTAGTGAATTATTACGTACATATTTGGTACGTAGTGGCTATTTTCATAGAATTGTACAACTTCACATATAGATTCACCAATGATTCAAACTATATTTTCAAATTAAATTGACTATATGAACTGAGGTAAGTAGAAAGTGTACTAAATATTTCATAATTGCTATTGACAAAATAAGTAGTTGTAATTATCGGTACCTCATCCCATTTTGTAAGATACACATTCTATTTAAGGCTGTCCAATAATATGAAGATTTTTTAAATTATTATAATTTATTATTATTATTATTATTATTATTATTATTATTTAGTGATGCGCAGATGGAACACCATTTTTTGGGTAAGAATGTCATCGTATATACTATGAAATAATTACTAATATTTCCTATACATTATGTCGGTAAAAGTAAGAGAAAATCGCTATTGCTAGGACTTAAACCTAGGTTTCTTCCAAAAATAGAACCTAATGTTTGGTTTTGCCTAAACAGGATTAACCATTTTATTTTTACCTCTAATTTAATTAATTCATTAATTAACCCAATCAATTGCTCCCCCAGCTCTCTTGCACAACCAAGGCAGCCTGTGAACTGTCGGCGGCGGCGTAAGTTTTTCCATAATTTTTTTCCCTGGTGACAATCCAGGGGCAACATTGAAAGCATTTTGGTCCAATCACAAATAAAAAGTCTTATTTAAGGATGTTTAAACTAATTGGTCATGTTTTGAGAAAAAAAAGCATGTTTTAATCATATTAAGATAAAAAAACTCCTAAAAGTAAATACATACTTTTAAAATGGTCACGTGCTAAACATGTAAAAATGGCTAAATATACTACTGATGGAGTATATGGGCCAGGGAACCCCGGCCCATAGACTCCTACTGCTCTAAACCAAGGCCCAATAGGCCCTGGAAGCACAACAGGCCCAAATCACAGCGCCCCGAGTACCAAGCAGCCAACAATACACACTGGGGATGCCTTCGGCCCCTTGGCCGAAGGCTCCTGATACTCACAGAAAGGCTATTTTCAGCATACAAAGTTACTGGGAGAAAAACGGCGGAAAACAGTAGCCCGCGGCACCTGGAGCCCTCGGCCTCATGGGGCCTTCGACAGGAAGGGCCCTCGGCTAATCACCTACAGCCGAGGGTACCTTCCCCAACAAGAATATCCTCTCCACATGTGCCTGGGTCGTCATACCAAGTACAACGTTACATCCAACCGCCGCATTAAATGCGGCCACATGTGAACGCCAGTGACACCCGGTTGATGTGACCCCTCGGTCGTTGGATGCGTGACACGTATCACATTCTCGCATTTATTGCTACTATAAATAGCACCTCATTCCCCCTTTGTAAACCAGATTCGGAATACGCTTTGAACTCATATATTCAATACTCTTTTCTCTCTTACTTGCTCTGACTTCTCTCTAGTTACTCCCCGCAGTAACCCTTCGGATACATACCCCCGGGTAGGCTATCCATCATTTTGGTGCTCTCGTTGAGAGGTCGAATAATCAAGTAAGAAACCCTCCCCCTCGCCAAACACAAAACACCTAGCGAAAATGGTGAGAACAACTCGTGCCAACTCCAAGAACGTTGAGGACAGGAACCTGGCCCTCGGCGAAGTCAACGTCCCCGAGGCCTCTAACAGGGCTCCCGGGGGCGGCGGCGTCGCCGGGTTGGATCAGACGGCTGTCGATCTACGCCTTCAGATTCAACAAAATGCCCCTGATGCCCGCATCGGCATCGAATCCAAAAAGAAGGACTGGAGCAAGAACCAAGTTAGCCCTCCGGTCATCACTATCGACGTACAGTCGGCATTTTCCGCCTTCATCCAAACACTCACCCAGAACCCGGGTGCATTCGGCACTCTGGTTCCCCTTCAACCTCAGGTCGGGGAAAACATCATGCCTTCCCCTCATCCACACCCCCTCGGGAACCCTGTCCTTCGGATTGGGAACACCGAGGGGTCGTGGCCCAAGACACAGCCTCCCAGGAAGTCCAATCCCGGGACCGCCACAACATGAACAAGGAACAGCCCCGAACCTCCGCCCTCGAGAGACTCGGAGGGGCGCAAGACCGCCGAGGGGTCCAAGACCGCCTCGGGGGGAAGGCGCTCCAAAGGCCTCAGGAAAGTGGCGGATCCGTTTCCTGGGCGGATGAAAGACGTCCCCCTCAGAACAAAGGCAAAGCACCCGTTCATTCCGATGACGTCCGTCACCACATCAACCAGGCCCACTCGGCCCGCGTCCGTTCGCAGGGGGCGGAGGCCCTCCCGAAGGACCCCCGGGACGAAATCATTGCGGCCCTCCAGCGCCGGCTTGACGAGATGGAGGCCACCAAAGCGCACGCCACCGCTTCTGCCCCTCACGCAGATCTGAAGTATGAGGCCATGCTGGCCAAAATGGAGGAAATGCAGAAGAAGATGGCTGAGGGCTCCGGGGAACCCACCATACAACTCCGGACCCGGACGCCATTTACCCCAAGGGTATTGGCGGCCCGGATCCCGGAAAAATACCGAGGGCAACTCATCAAGCCCTACGACGGAAAAATTGACCCCCAGGAGCACTACAGCAGGTACCAAAACAGTATGATGATAGTGGGGGCGTCAGATAAGTATTTGTGCCACTGGTTCCTCTCCACCTTAGATGGGCCGGCCTACGAATGGTTCAACCGATTGCCCGAAGGCTTCATCGACTCGTGGCAAGAACTCGCCCAGCGATTCTTGACACAATTTGCGGGAAGGCACCGGACAAGGAAACACTTCTCCCATTTACTAACGGTGAGGCAGAGGAAGGATGAGACCCTTCGAGATTTCCTGGAACATTGGAGGACGGAGGCAGACAAACCGTCCTCCGCACCGGAAACTTTTCAAGGAGCCTCATCATCGAACCTCCCCGTGATTACATAAGGGCCCTACAGCGGGGGGATCGGTATGCCGAGGCCGAAGAGGTGGAAAAGTACCACCACAACCCCGACCAGCAGCGCCCTCGACCAGACGACAAAAACAACTGGGGGCTGGGAGCTCCCTCACATCAGTCCAAGGGGCTGGCACCCCCCGGTGATCGCCCCCGGCAAGGCCAAGCCAAACCCGGGGGAGGTTACAAGGGTAACCCGAAGACTTGGGCGCAACCTGTTCTCCTGGAGCACCCTCGGACACCTTTCACGCACCCCGTCAGCGTCATCCTCGATTTCGCTGAGGAGAGGGGCCTGGTGGAGCGAGATTCTCGCGCACCCCCGGAGGTATATGCCATCAACC